AGATCTTTAGAGAAGCCCAGGAAATTATGCCAACTTGCCAAAGCACACAAGAGAAAAATTGGTCAATAGGGCTATTGCACCTTCATAAAAGGAGCTCCAAATATTCTTATCATTTGACTGCGACTTTGTCTTCCCTCCATAGGAAAGAACAGGACTGACCACAGCTTCTTCCTTTGTCTTGCTCTTACATAGAAACACACTCCTCAGATCAGAAAGATACAGATCGACATGTGCAGATTCACCAAGGCTTCACTTCATGGGAGACAATTAAAGGTTTCTGCTGTTACCTTGGGAATTGTATATCCAAAGAGCTGTACATCCTTAATGGGTGCGTGAGGTATTCCAAGAGCAGCAACATTTGAAATGCGTTGGATTTCATGAATGACGGCATTTGTGTAGGGCAAGTGTTCTCTATCTTCATATTTCAGGCTTGCATTGTTTCCCAGAACAGCGTTTATTTCCTTCCAGCATTCCTCTGAGGAACCAAGAACTCGGTTACCTTCTGGAAAACATTTCACTGACTCTGTGTAGACATGGTTGGTATTCTTTCCAGCCAGGTGACCAACAGAAGTGATGAGATTGCAGCTGTCAGGATTCCCAGCCATGACAATCACTCCCCAGTTCAGGACCATTCCTCATTTGGCATAATAAGTGAAGGCATAACTCTCGCAAGTCAAGAACACAGTTTGATCATTCTTTACCTTGGATCTCTGGGAAGGCCATCAAATAGAGGAATCCCCACCGAAGTGTTCCTGCTGTCGTCTCTGTTCCAGCCACGAATAGTTCAGAAACTGAAATTCGTAGTTGCTCTTCTTCAAAACTGGAACCTTTCCTCTCTGCCTTTTGTTAGTGAAAACAAAGAATGTTATTAAAATGTAATGGAAAAACGATCTTCTTCCACTCATGTATTGTTTTTAATACAGTTGGTAACATCAATTTAAAATGGGATTTCATTCTGAAAAATATGACTAAAATGGAAAAGGAAGTAGGGAGAGGACAAACAAGGATGTTCTTCCAGGGACAACTCATCATGATAGAAACAGTTCAGGGAGAGTTTGAGGGTCCCCCAGAGCTGGCAAAGGGGCCTTTCCTCCCGCTCCTCCCTCTGTTGCATCCGGATGGACAGATCTGTGTTAGCTGGCTGGGTTTGCACAACATGCACAGCAAGGGCACATAG